GGCATTCCCATTGTTTAACCACTCTGAAAAGCCGGCAGTGACTATCACCACATTTTTACTTACATTTAAACTCAACTTTAGTGTCAGCACAACAATTGAAGTGACATTTGACATCTTAAAAAAAAAGAAAATCCTATTTTTCTTTTCTGCATCAAGAGTTTTAATATTTCCCACAACTGTCTGGCCTTGATCACTGGTTCATACCAAAAAAAAAATTTAGCACATAAAATAAAAGCCGATTCAACTTCTTTGCTGACTGTGGCAAAGTGAAATATCCTTGGACGTTGCTCAAATTACCTGAACTGTCAGTGGTTGCAGAGCAAAATGAAATTAAAGGGGGATAAATCACAGGCAGAGCCATTAATCACACAAATGAAGTTCCAAAATAATGGGCTTGTGTCTGTTGTTTTCCTCCTACTAAACCACTGGCCCTAATTTGCTAATTGGTCTGTCTTCCCTCCACCATTTTTAGTTTTGGATGTGACCTCACTTCAAAAAATTTAGTTCATTATTTTGTTCGTTTTGGATGATGAACCTAGACGAAAAAAATCGGTCTACTAAAAACAGGTGAAGTACTGTAGTATAGTAGTGAAGTATGCAGTACTACTACAACAACACTTTGATTTGACATTGTGCTTAAAGAATTGCGGCCAAAACACAAAAGGTATCAACATACGTCTACATTATGAAGTAAAGCAGACAGTTCTTTGACAAACACGGCAGACGACCCTGACTATCAACCACTTTTGTGTGTGTTTCAACAGAGACCGAGGATTTATGCCAATCCAACTAAAGGACCACTCGTCCAGTCAAATCCTCAGGGCGACGCAGCAACTCACACTTGGAAATCACGTCTTTATAAACACAATGGAGTTAAAAAAAGAAGGGGAACAGAGGACAGCTATGACAGACAGACGGAGAGAGAGAGAGAGAGAGAGAGAGAGGATAAACACAAGGCCGGGGAACACGATGTTTTGTTAAGGGATAAAGGCAGAAGCCAGGTTAAAACATCAGACTGCGGGGGTTAGTGTGAAGGAAGAGAAAGACGCTTAATGAGAAAAGGCGGCTGTTGGAAAATACATTTAGAGAGTGGAAAGTTGGATTTTGAGGAGGGGGTGGGGTGGAGAAGAGATGAAGTTTCCAGTGACGAATGGAGAGGAGAGAAAATGATGTATGTACCGGGAGCGAGAAAATCATCCAGATGTTTTTTCAATGCAGCTAATTTGCATCCTAATACATCAACAGGAAGCTAATCAAGGCATATAGTTCTGCCTGTCTGCCTCTCTCATCATCCCCTTTATGCACACTGGCTGAGTACGTGGCTAGAGAGGACGTTTTACTGTGCTCCACGGGTATACTTCACTATACTTTAGTCTGAAGATTTCTAAACTCAGAACTGCAGCGGACTCACTGCATCGTCTCCGTGGAACAATCGAGACTTAATCAAGAAAATAATGTAATCGTGTTTACAGTAGCGCTGAGGCCCCCGCGGTGAACATCACTTAATTCCTTATTTATGATTTCTACCATTTCATTCTGTAATGTAATCATCCATCATTATAAGCAGCAACCCCTGGCACATCAATACTTTTGAAAGTTTGAATGTAACATATATATTATTTATTCACAGTCAAAGTTTGTTAGGCCGTTCAAACAATAATATTGGTAACTAAATGTCGTCATATAAATGAAAAATAAAATATCTTAAAGATTATTTATACCTCACCTGGGATTCGCGGCAGATGCTACAGATGGAAACTGTTTACGTCTACATTTTTTACCTCTGATATAAATCAAGACCTAAATCTTCTTCCTCTTTAACAGCTTTAAACAATACTCATAAGATGTTTTGATCCACAGTAAAACAGTGATTTATGAAATTAATGATAATGATGATAATCAATGGACAGGCCGATTAATGATAATGATGATAATCAATGGAAAAGCTGTCAGAAATGAACAAGGTTTTGAAGTTTTTTTTTTTTCCTTTCTTCTTATGTACATGAACTTTTTCAGACTCAGAATTCATCTGTTATGTCTTCAAGTTGGCCTCAGTACACTTCTCTTGAATTATATATAATCCTTTGGCATCAGAGGCAAGTAAGAGATTTGATGGAAGGTACCGGTGAGTGAATTACTGCATATCAGGCACACTGGAGGATAACATGTCAGAGTAGTACAGGTTCAGGTCATCGCAGCGTGAAAAGCTCAGCAAGAGTCCGAGCCTGGATCAGGCAGAGAAACCAGAACACTGTCGAGAAAGACAATGTCTGTCATGAGCTCCAGGCTTTGAGGCATATTTTTCTGTATACGTTGACTAAACGCGACACAAAGTCAATCTTCTGGCTTGTTCAAAAAAAAAAAAAAAAAAAAACAGCTCCAGGAAAGGTTGTAAAATGGAATATGGAGGAAAATAAGATTTCACATTCACGTAGTGGATCAGACTGGCAGAAATAAAGGAAGTTATCCTTATACTTATCCACCGATGCTGCTACATCTGCCTAAAAATAACATTAAATACAAAACTCCCTCTAGATCATAATTATATCACACGTTTGTCAATGTGTAACAAGTAGGAGAAGCATTTTTGTTTCTACACCAGTCAGACTGATAATGTTACAGTAAAACACAGAGGAGGAGCTGAGACTGTTTGAATGGATGGTAGAAAACAACGTACGCATTGTTTGTGCGCGAGTGAGTGTTCAGAGTTAAATATGTTTAGGTCAGCCAATAAACTGTATACGCCACGAAGAAACAGCAGAGTAGAGGAAAGACAGACAGAGGAACTCCAGGTCAAGGTCACAGAGATAAACACACACTTCATGACAGCACAGGTGAGAAAAATGACTTGAAATAGTGTTTTTTTTTGACTGAACATGAAATTTTCCATCTCAATTCCACATTTAACAGTCACTAGTTATTCACTGTAGCTACTGAGACATTTGGACAGTCCAAATACAGGATCCCATCCTTGACAGGGAACATCATGTGACCTCGCCTGTTGTTTTCTAATCACAGTGATAAAGATCTATTCATCCATCCATCTTTCATTGCTTAATCCTGTTAGGAGGCACGGTGGGAGCTGCACTCGGCTGACATCAGACAAGACGGCCACACCTGGGTAAACAGGTGGTCTGCGGGGTCGACAACCCATCGACACTGACAGCGACAACAACTCATTGAATTAGGGTTTCCAATTTGAAGAGAGAGAGGAGAAGAGAAAGACGATAAAGAGGTCGAAGAACAAGAAGCTTAGAAATCTGTCCTCTGTATTTTACCAATAATCCATGAACATCAACCAATGGGCTCCAGAAGGCACTGGTTTCCAGGCAGATTTAAAAACAAATCTCTTTCAGAACATTGAATATAGAACCCTTTGTATTCAGACATAACATGACAACTATGGCATTTCCGTTACTTTCTAATCTGTAAACTTTCTGTTGCTGTTGTTGTTCAGACAAAGTGCAGCTAAGAATTGCAGTAAGAAGTTTAATAATGACACATTTTCTGCATTGTGGACATGACAAGAGTGGAAACGCCGAGTAAAATGACAAGACAAACTGGGCTAATCAGTCACTTACCCATCACTTTAACGAAGTAGGCGTCAGCTTCGAAATTGTTCTTTAAAGCGTGGATGATCAAGTCATTTCTGCCAGGTGCCTGGCTCAGAACCAGCATGTCTAATATACCCTGCAAATGAGGACGGGGACAGAGAGGACACAGTGAGCGTGTTTTCTGACTCACTTCTCCATCTAACACCGCTGGTGGTTGACACAGCATTATATTGATCATCTTTCCTTTTTTACACTACATATTATTATTTTTTCAAAATACAAAATAATAGTGGTAGAGCAAGAAGGAAATGGAGGATGAAAAATGGGGTGAAAATAAAGACATATTTCAATCAATAGAATAAATCAGTCATAATCAATTGTGATTCAACAAGCACATAACAACTGTCAATAAACACGACCTCGCTACATAATAAATGTCCGAGTACCGCCCTTTGACTTACACCAGATCTTTACAAATTCAGGTTGACCTCGTTCATGGTCAGCGTATGGATTTACGTTGCAGTCAATTAAAATAAATTAGGTCTAAAATGTACGGTTGCATTAATGTATGTGTTAATATTGACAGCTTTTTACAAGGTAGGAAAAAGCAACTTTATAGGAACAAATGACAATAAGAGCTTTGTCGAGTGTTTACAGCAGCTGCCGTGAGTGGAACCTGCTGCGTATTTGGTTTTCATGCATTCCTGAATAAAAACGGTAAATTGAACAATACAGATAAGGCATGGAAATTGGAAGAAAATCTTTGGTGTAAGCATATGGATGTATATAGATTACATCTAAAGCATGTTCATTTTTTTTTAGAAAGGCCCTTGTCATCTTGTGTAGAGAAACAATGTTTTAAACTTGAAAAGTTAATTTACTTTGGCCATTAAAACAAAAAAATGTAATCCTTAATTCACCGAACATTGTGCCACAAAAAATATTTCAAGGCACAAAATATTTTTAATAGACTTTTTTCCCTCTTCATCCAAATTCTTCAACTTCAGTCTTCCAAATTTACTCACGTCCTCGTAGATGTCAAAGAATGTCGCCATGACGGCATTTTGGATGGCTCCTAAATCTGACTGGTCCCAGTGAATGTTGAACGTTCTCCCCACGCTGTGGCAGCTGACGTTTGCACACGGAACGTTCTCCAACAGGAAGGCCTGCTGACTGCTGCAAGGCACAAACAGACACAGATGGGAATAAGAAGCATTAATCATATTCATCAGCAGATTCATCGGCAGCTGAATTTGGTTGCTGACATTTCAGTGTGAATATTGGAGCACCGTTCCCTCTGCAGTCTTTTAATCTAATATGGCAGTTTTACCTTGATCACATAGGTGTTGCCAAAGAAACAGCAGTGACAGGTTCACAGTATAATTTTAGTAAATAAACATCTTTGCAGATCACCATTTTTTTTTACCTTCCTCTTCCCACTCTCTGTACATCTGAATAGACTGTTGTGTCACATTTTCTGTTTAAACTGTGATATGTTTTAATCCACTGCTTTTCCCATGTGTCTCACTGTCTTTGTTGATGCCCTCACTTCGCTGTCTGTCTTTTTTTTTGTGAAGAAGTTGAAGTCTGTGATAAAAAGTACTGCACCAAAATAGAACAGACATAAAAAAAAAAAAAAACTTTTTCAACATTTGAAACATTTCACTAGTTCGACCAAAATAGAACAGACATAAAAAAAAATAAAAAAAACTTTTTCAACAATTGAAACATTTCACTAGTTCAGCGCTGTCAAAGGAGATGAAGTGAAGACCAAGGGCTACGACGATGGATTGAACAAATTTGACCTCAAGCAAGTTTTCTTGAAGACCTAATATGCTGTGTTTAATAAATTTGTAATTTCTAAAGGTTAAGCACAAACCTGGAGTTATGTTAGATTTCCTTAAAAAAATAATTATTTATGGACAACTTGGCCGAAGATAAATGCCATTTAAGGAAGTCCATTAAATACACAGTGACACAGCTTTAAAAACTGCGATATGAGGTGAATATCTGTTCATCAGGTTTTCTGGTGTTGATTGTCGGCAACTCGCAGGAGAAGCTGAAGAGCAGTACAGCGGCTTGTGCTGGCTTACCTGGCTTTGTATGTGATTACACATATATTAGCTTGAGGTTCAGCTAAAGGTCAGTCGGCTGTAACTCATCAATACTAGATTTCCATGGGAACACACTGCTTCCTCAAAAAGAAAAAAAGGCAAAACGCCAGTGGCACTGCAACCAAAGAGTGTGGCCAGTTGTCAGTAGTGACCTGCCATGACTTTGACTGTGCATGTGTGTGTGTAGAAATGTGGCATTTCAAAGCGTCGTGATTGTTATTCACCTCCGTGTCTGTGTGTCCTTTGTACAGTAAGCTTTTTAACACTTCAAAACGATCTTGCTCTCCAGCACAGCAAAGGTCGTGATGGTGACGATGAAGGTTACAGTACGAGGCTGATCACACACACACACACACATACATACAACACACTCGTGACACGCATCTGAGCAGCAAAGCAAAACATCTCTTGAGACTCGAGTGATCGTTGTTTTCAGCAGTGAAAAGAAAAAAAAGATACACTGAAATATCAGAATATTTCTGTTCAGTCAGAGGTAGCGTACTACAGTCAAACGTAGTGAATAATTCATCTCTTGCTACAAACTTAGAGATTATAGTAATTTTACAAACAGTCCCCAAAAAAGAAAAATAATATATTGCTATTCCTAAAGGATTAATGTTGTGATAATGAATGCGACTTAAAGGTAAGTTGGTAAAACAGTCCCTGCAGGAACGGGTGCTGGTGTGAGTTTTTACGTTAACGTGACTGTGACTGCCCCGGGCTTCCATTAGTGCATGAACTTACAGCAGTGTATTTGTGTGTATGTGTGTGTATGTGTGTGTGTGTGTGTGTGTGTGCCTCGAGACACCTTGCAGTTCTTCCAGCTATATCCTCCTCTCTTCTAATTGGCCTCTGGAGGGGCAGTCTGCTGGCAGGAGAGCTGACCAAGTGATTCAACCGATGACCCCTCTCCACCCCCCCGCCCCCCAAAAGTGTTACCTGTCCACCTTTACCGCTCACTATCCATTCATCTTTGCATTAGTGGGTTTTTCCTGCCTTCTTTCTTCTGCCAATCAAATCACAGAGAAACCTGTTTAAGGAGCCTCAAGATCTTACTTTATTCTTTCAGAGTTGTGTTTCAAAGGGCAAGCGAGCGACTGACGGTAGAAGTAAAAACAGCTGCGTCTTCACCATCGTTGAAGGCTCATTTAAGGTCCTCCACTGAACTCTTCATTATTCCTTAATCTCAGATCCTTGAGTCTGCTAAAGGACATTACAGTTTGTTGCTTATCAAAAGGCAGATGCTCGCTCTCAAAGAAAACTAGCAGCCAAGTATTTCAGCTTCAATTCCATCTAAGAAACTATTTTTGGTTGCACTTTTTTCAAATATTACACTCTTGCAGCCGACCCTATTCCTCATTGTAACATTTCTACTAGCTTATTTGCTTCATCTCTACTGTAAATTAAACAGCGTCTGTACAACTGTATACAATATTAAGATTGATCGATTGACCTAACCCATACTTAATGCTGCCTCCTGTGGCAGCCTGTGGTGAATGCAAAGACTCATATTGTGAATTTTTTTTCATTGTGGGACACAAATGAGGGACTCGATTTTATTTGATATATTTCTTAATGTATAGTTGTATTAATAGAGCCACTAGACATACCCACGCAATACATCCCTCCACAAACTAGCGTATTCAATCGTATCTGTTTGACTGAAAGTGTACCAGGCTATTTGATAAAAGGTTAAAAAAAAGTATTGGTCCTTTATACAGATAAGAAAGCAAGAATGTTGGTATTTGTTAAATTATTCCTTAACAGAGGCAAAAACCATAAAAAACTGTTTTAAAACCTGTCAAGAAATGGTTTCTGTCAATATGCTATTGCACAGAAGCTCCTACAAAAAGAACTGCGTGCTGGTGTGCGTTCGATTTTTTTTCCTGTAGATTTAATGAGGTAGAACCAGTCCTCCTATTAAAATGTTGATTTTTTTAAAAAGAGTACTTACAAAACCCACAAAATATCTGTGATTCTACACCCTGGTATCTGCAACAGAACCGAGACACAAACACAGCTGCCATTTGGTGCTACGATTCAGAGAGGGATAGACTTTACACGGCATTGCCTAGCAACAGCCCGCTAAGCTCTTTACAGCCACAAGATTGGGATGAATACTAACAAAAAGAGACACATATCTTTTGGCACTTACAGCAACAGCTTAAACTCAATCTGTAGAAATCCATCATGGCATCATCAAGACGAGGAGCACTCAGCCTCTCAGAGGGAAACATTAAAAAACAACTCCTCACCATTCAGGTTACATCCTAAGTTGACCCTGGCACTCTCAAGTTTTCTACATTGATCTGAAGTCAGTGCAGAAGTCGAGATTAAAATATCCTTAGGTTAACTATAGCCTATTACATTTACAACAATAACTGAGCAGATAAATCAGAGTGACCTATCAATGGACAGCGACCTCTTATGTTTTTGAGGAAGGTGATGAGATCAGGACTCTCTACAGACTATGAAATCTCATTTTCATTCTTTAGTAAGTTTTTCTTTGGTATTATTTAGTAAATGTTATGATTTATATGCATGAAGGTCACAGATTTTGCTTTTATCTTGTTTTCGGGGTATGATAATTATCCAAATACAAAAATAAACCTTCCCTCGGTTTGATTATGATTATGATGAGATTATTGGGTGGGATTATGCTTTTACAGAAACTGGGCTTCAACTCTGAATGCTTCAGCAAAGCAAGAGATGTTGGACTGAGATTATAAGGTGGGATTATGCTTTTACAGAAACTGGGCTCCAACTCTGAATGCTTCAGCAAACCAAGAGATGTTGGACAATTCCATGCTCCCGATTTTGTAATTCCAGATCTTGAATCTTGAATCTGTCAGTCTGTGTCTGTGAAGATGTTCCAGACTGACAGTCAACGCAAGGTTGACTTAATAAATTTGTAAATATCACTCACCCAATGAATCCACACTCAAACACACTAGATAATTTTAAAAGGACGTGTTGATCAGACGCACCACGGTTCCCATGTTTTTTTTTTCCTGATGAATTATCTACCCAGTCACTCTTGATGTCTGAGACATATCCTGATGGTGCCATTACTCATATCCTCAATCAGCAGTCATTAGTGTTATGCAGGTTGGGTCACAGTGTGATGTGCTGTCACGTAATATGCGAGATAAAAAAAAAAAAAAAATCCAGAAATTGCGTCTTTCACACCACATGCTAGACAGTCACGGCTAAATGTAACATGTGTGCAGTCACAGAGAGCCGCCCGGTGGAGGGTGGAGTGTGACATTTAGACTTCTCCCTACAGTTCTGGGATCTCATGATGGGAAATTCAACATAAAACACTCAGAGCCAGCGGGATGCTCTGCACCACGAGGGCACAGCATGGGTACAAAAGTATGGGTTGCGTGTGTATTTGGGTCACACACTTTTTGCTGCGCATTCCAGTGAATTCTAACACTTTTCCTAGCTGTGGCGAGGGTTTCGCGGCTAACCGCACCAAAACATGAAATTTATACACGAAAATAGTCTTGAAGTGTCGCTGGAGAAAAACATTGTTCCCGTCATCGCAGCAGGGGGCTCTCAACGCTGCAGGTGCTTTGTTCTTGATCTATGTGGTGCCATAACTGACTGAATCTAATTTAGTCAGTAATGTTATGTTCACACTTGATGCCAATATGAAAATTGAGCTCCGTGATTTGTGCTTGTTTATGCACTGATTATTGCAGCAGCAGCTACTGTACTGGCAGTGTTTCAGCAGTGGTACCAGCTATAAAGACCTCGCAAGAAACACATCATTCAGCTGAAGCACTTGGATTCTGAATCTTTACGAAGTGCAATAACAACAACGATATCAACTGCAGAGAAATCGAGATGAGGACATTGTTCCTGCCTTAAGGATCGAGCTGCAACTACTCATCTCACTACTGCGGACGAGGGCTTCATAAAACACGTTCTGCTTCTGTAAACGCACAGGTGAATTTAACTGTTATTATCACTGTTGTGAATATGTTTATAGTTGTGTTCACCCAAACAGTCTAAACTATAACGGTCACTAAGAATAATGTCAATGGATAAAATAAAGTAGATCAAGATAAAGAAAAGTACTTCGGCTGTTTAGATCTTGCAAATTCAATTCCTGATATGAAAACTTTATATATTTAAGCTTATATGTTCCACCAAGTTCATAAGACCCAGGCATTTAGAATAAATCATATATGGAGCACATATATGTGCATAGCCGTCTGCTTTCAATTGAATTTTTTTTTTTTTGAGTTTATCAACAGGGTAAAATGAACACAGATTTTTTTTTTTAACCAGACAACCACAGAAGATGAGGTCATCTCAAGCCTGACACAGTCTGCCTTCAGTCATATGCTCATCCCTGCAGCGCAGCGGCTTCAGAACTCTGAACTGCATGACATGAGCCCAGCAATGACAGGTGCTTCACAGCAGTCAGAGGACAGTCACTTCATGTATCGCTCTGAAGCACAAGACTGTAAAACTGAACTGCAGCCTTTACGATTAAAAAGAAGAAGAAGAAGAAGAAGAAGAAAACTGTCTGTCCTTTTTTGAACCTTTTCATTTAAGGAATCAGAGAGAAAAAAAATGAATTATTTGCCCAGCATTTTCATACCGCTGAGCCATGTTATTGGCTCCCACTGAGTAACCATACATGTACAAACAGTCACTTACTGTAGCAGCTATCCTGCAGACAAAGACACAGCTCTGATCAACCCAGGCTCTATGTTCCATTAAATACGATGGTGTAACAATAATCAATTTCATTCTGCTGCTGTGACCTGCACAAATACAAATAATTGCCCACTTCACCTCTAGTATGTAAATAAAGTTGCTTTGGTTGATTATCTGAGAACAGAGAAAAATAAAAGATATTAAAGCAATTATGTGAGGGAGAAAAAAACAAAACATACATTATTGTAATCTCTGGGGATTTTCTAAGTGTACACCAAGGTATTAATGTGTAGCTTTAAAATGTTGTTTTCCTAAATCATAACAACAATAAAAAAACACACATCATCCCAGGAGGAACTGAAGAAAACCCTAAACCTATTTACAAAAACAAATAATACTCACAGTAAGACATGTACAGTATATTCACATGAATGGGACTTTAATGAAACAGCTGTATTTGAGTTAATCCGTAATTAAATACCACACTTTTACTTGTACTTGCAAATGTAGTGGCCCAGAAAAAAAAAAAAATCTGTGTGCGGTCTCATCTGACCAGTGTCATCTGTAAATAATTCTTAAAGCTCTCCATCTGGAGGACTGTTAATCTGTTTGGTCAGGATGTGAGTGGTCTGGATGCTATTTTCAAATACTTGAAGAACACATGGTCCTGTGTACATTTGACACATGCATACATGTAATTATTTCCAAGTTCCCTCGGGAGGATCAGACATTAAAGCTGACCTTAGCACCTTTTAATCAGTGTGAAGAAGATGGAATGGTGGAACTAAACATGATTGCTGCTGAGAATAATCCAGTGGTGTAAAGGCTTAGGTTTAATGCAGTCCCGTAAGAAATTCACATACATCGACCAATGACAGCAGCAAGAACATAAATCACCAGAGGACCATAGCAGGACTTACTGCCTGAAGTTTTAACCACTTTTACTCTGCTTTTAATTGGTTCTGCCCCAAAAATCTCTTTGTTTATGTGGATTATTTTTTTTCCTCTTCTTTTGTAGAAATGTTAGAAATTAAAAGTATTTTCCCATAAAACATTCTTTTTATTGTTTTAGTTTAGATCTTATTTCATGTGCGTAGGAACGACACGATACTTAAGTGTCATTGTTAACTGTGTAATTTCATGTTACGTTTTGTTTCAGTATCTGTATTTGTCATCTTCATACAACCAGATATTGTGCATCCATCGATGCTGAAACCTCTCAACGATACATTTTTCTCAAGGTTGGGTTTCAATAAAGTATTCAATAAACTGGAAGGTGTCTCAAAGTGTGGCACAGCTCTCTGGGTGACAGGGCGACATGCAGTCTGAGTACAATCACAACACAAACCGAGTCATTTTCAGTCATTTCAGTAAACAAATTAACACAAAGAAATGTCAACAAATAACTCTCTCAAAAAAATACGAAAATTGTTGAAGTGTACACGCCTCATTTATGCACTGTGCCATTAAACTGAAAAGACACATTAGCGTTCAGAAAAGTTCCTCCACTGCTTTCTTGTTACAGAACAAATCTTCCAGAAATCCTTGACTTCCTGACTTCAAACCTCTTAACAACTGACACTGCAGAGAAAAAAAAAACCCACACTCAAACCAGTGTGTGGAACCAAGTACTGGATCTGTGGATCAGCACATGAATACTGGAATTTGGGTCAGATACTAATACTGTATCAGTGCATCCCTGCTGTAGATAATTAAATTACCACATCTGAGGAAAATACTTGTCCCAAATTATGGATAATGTTGCGTCCTTCAGTCCTTCAGTCAACCAACGGGATTTCAATTACATCATACTTGATCTGACACTGTTTCACCTCCACAACCATATTATCCCAATATTAAAAAAGAATCAACTGAAAATGCATGAATGACAAGTAGAAGGACATGTTTACGGAGCTCAGGGTTAAAGCTAACATTCTTCTGCCCACTGCAGCACCTGCTTTGTCTGTAACACTGTGTACTCTGGAGCAACATTCACTCCGGCTACTACTTAGACTCTAATGTAATGAACTACCCAATGGCAGCAAATAGATCTTCATAGAATATGCTGACTCAGTACGGAGGCTGATTTAAATGCTGTTGTGATTCCGTATTTGTATTTGTATTACGTTAGCTCGGAGGATTCACAAGAGTAATGTTGGTATTCATATAAAGGGTTACTGTATATGAAGGTTAAAGGAAAAATACTGTATGACTCCACAGTATCTGGTTTGATCTTAACCTTGACCAATTTCAAGGGTAACTTGGTCGACAGTTTAAGATCTTTTATTTTTTTATAAAACATCAAGCTTCCTCTTTAAAATTATAGCGTTGCTGTGTTATAAACCTCAATAGTGATAAAAAATTAAAAATAATAAATAATGAAAATTAACAAACTTAATTCATTTGTTCTGTTTGTTGTTTGTTCTATAAATATCTACTGTATCTGTCACAGACTTTTATGAGTGCTGGTGCAGATTGATTCACATATTTACTCACTAATCACAACCATCAAACTTTCTCCACCGCTTCTTGATATACAACAAACGCAGCACGTCCACTGACTAGGGGTTTATGTGTTGACAGGCTATTAACTAGGATGCCCGCGGTGCAGACCTGAGGAGAACCTGCTGCTACAGTAACACAACAGTTGTTTGTCTCACTGAAGAAATTAATTCCAACCTGGAAAAAAAAAAAACGCATTTGTTGAGAAAAAAAACTACATTTTCAGATGTTGACAGAGCTGTGCTGCATCACATTAGGATGACTGTATTCATAAAGCATTTAAGTGGGAGATTTAATTGTGGTGCTCTTAAAGAAGCTGTGAGAACAAGTAGAGAAAGTAAATACAAGAATGGAAAATGAGGTTATACACCCAAAGCACTGATGTTTTCTTAGCTGCGCCTAAAATACCTGCACGTATTTAGAAAGTGTTATTTTAAATGTGACGCGTGCGTTCCCATCTGCTCACAGTTACACTGATTTAAACTCTGTCTAACTTTGCATTCCCACACTCCTAAAGATATATGTTTCACAGGGACATTAATAGAAACGAACAACTGTTCCTTCTCAAAAACATCTATTTATTAAAAAAAAAAGATAGAGAAGAAATGGAGTTGAGAGTTATTTGGATGAACAACGGACGTGTCTTATCTTATGTGCACATTTAGTTACTATTTTAAAGTGTCTGTTGATAAAAACTTCAGTTAAGTTAAATATAACTTGCTGAGAATAATTCTGTTAAATTCTCAACTCAAGATGGTTTGAAAAAACAAAGTCATAATTGGATACTTATTAAGATATTCTTTTTTTTTTTTTTTTAGATCAGTGTCAACATGTAGTTAAGCCTGATTTCCATGATCCATAAAAATAGAACTGCTTTCGCTCCAACATAATAATCTGTTACAGAGTAATTTCACAGTAGCTAAATGATTAAATTCACTCTGTGAGAATCATCTGTGGGAAATATTTATACCTTTAATGGCTAAAAACGCTGTATAAATTTGCAAAAGAAAACAACCTCCTGTGTAAATTATTAGGATTTAAACGATTAATTTCTGTGTTCTGCTGAAAAGCTACAAATCTCACGTGACAGTTTCACTGAAACAGAAGTTAAAACGTTTTTTATGAGAATATTGGCTGTGGACACAAAAATTATGACTTGGAGGGAACTCTGTGACCTTATACAGTTCCGTGATGACCAATGGTAAAACAGTTCAGAACATTTATGAAGATATTTTGCAGAGAATTTTAGCACAAGCTCAGCTAGTTTGTTTTCTTTTCACACCTACCCGCTACTGGTATTCCGAAGGACCATCAAAGCATCAGGGAAGCCATCGAGGTTATAATCCCCAAGGTGCAATGCCAGAGGTTGGTGGAGTGTTCCAAGCACGAAGCTCCAAGTTGTTTCCCTCTGCTGGAAATCCAACAGGACAGGTACCCACTGCAACCAGAAAAAAAAATTACATTATTACTGGGTACAATTTATATATATATAATTATTCTGTTGAACCACAATTCAAAAAAATATATAATTTTTTTTTTTTATTACTTTTGTCATTTTCA